TTCCCATCAGTAGATGAGTTAGTAAAAAAAGCTGTGGTACATTTATACCATGGAATACTATGCAGCAGTGAAAAAGAAGGATTTCTTACCCTCTAAGACAGCATGGAGGTACCTAAAGAGTATTATGCTAAACAAATAAGTCACTCAGAGAAAAAACAATTATCACATGATCTCACTCATATGTGGAATCTAATTAACAAAATCAATTGATTAACTGAGTGGATCCAGAGATATAGAAGCATGGAACAGAGGGCGGACTCTCCGAGGGAAGACGGGGGAGGCTGGGTGTGTGGTAGGTAATCAACCAAAGACCTTGTGTGCATAGATGCATAACGCATGGTCACAGAGAGTGGGGTGCTGAAGGCCTGGCATAACTCATGGACACAGACAATAGGGTGGTGAAGGCCGGGGTAGGGGGCAGAGGCAGGCTGGAGCGGGTCAATGGGGGGAAAAAGGGGACATCTGTAATACTTTCAATAATAAAGATTAATAAAAAAAAAAAGCTATGGTACCATTAGTTGAATCTGCTGGCAGGTCTACAGCAAACTCAGTCTCCCTAAGTGTACTGGTGTTTTCCTTTACCAATAGGGAGAGTTTGCCTGTTTTGTTTATTTCTCTCGTTAATTTTTTAAAACTTTAGACATGTCAAATATACAGAAGAGATAAAAAAGCATTATTAAATAGTAAGTATGTACCTCGCTCCAAGATTAAATACTTGTTAACAGTTTGCCATATCTGCTTCAGAACTTTTGTTTTTTTCTAAAATTTAGCATTATAGACACAGAGAAAGCCCCAATCTTTTCCCACCCTTATCTCCCTGTTAATTTTTTAAAATTTTAGACATGTCAAATATACAGACGAGATGAAAAAGCATTATTAAATAGTAAGTATGTACCTCGCTCCAAGATTAAATACTTGTTAACAGTTTGCCATATCTGCTTCAGAACTTTTGTTTTTTTCTAAAATTTAGCATTATAGACACAGAGAAAGCCCCAATCTTTTCCCACCCTTATCTCCCACAGGTATTTCTAAATTTGTGTCTTATTTATAGAGACATACAACATATGGATTAAAACCAGCAAAACCTGCTATTTTATGTTGTAAATTATTTAAAAATATACTATACCATCCTTTTGCAATTTTGATTGTACTCAACATACTTTCACGTGCAAATAAATAGGTATTAGGTATATTCATGTTGTGCTACCATCACCCCATCCATCTCCAGCACTCTCTTCATCTTGTAATACTGAAACTGTACACCCATTAAACAACACTCTCCATTTGTAATTAGTTTTCATTTATTTATTTTTTCAGCTATGAAATTTATTTAATTTCAGTAGAAGTGGTTTTTAATATGATCCTACTGATTTTAAATTTGCTTTTCAGAATTTCCCCCGCCCCTCGCAATTACAGTTGACACTCAGTATTTTATATTAGCTTCAGGTGTACAACAAAGTAATTAGACATTTATATGATTTACAAAGTGACGCCCCAATAAGTCTAGTTAGTACACACCTGGCACCATACATAGTTATGTAATTAGTTTTTAATGTTATTGAACTATACCCATAAAATGTGTCTATTATTAAAAAAAACACCACCACTCCTATCAAGATAACTGAGAGCTGATTTCAATGATCAGTTCCCAGAGAAATAAAAGGAGTTTTACCAAAATGACTCCATCAAATCTGAACTGGCACCACTGAGGTTGGAGCAGGGAAACCAGCTCTCGGCAACAGCAGCTCTCCAGGGTGCGGTGCGGCCGAGCTCCTGCTGGGCCCACTCTGGACAGGGAGGAGCTGCAGGTTCGGAGCAGAGAGGGAAGGAAAAGAGGCATCAGAACCAAAGCGGACATCTCCGTTCTTGCGCCTGCCAAGGACTGGCCACCGTCTCACCAAGGACATACAAAGCGCAGCATTAGCGACCCTCCTTCATCTGCACCCACTCCCACGGGACTGTGTCTAGGAAAACTGCTGCTCTGACAACGCACAAGCACACACTTCCTCGCTGCGCCCCAAACACAGCAGGCGCACCCTGCAGGCCTGTGCTCAATGGCTTTCCAACCAGGCCTGCTTAAAATGGCACCCCTCTTACCCCATCCTCTTTTTCCTATTTATTATATAGCATTTATCACTTTCAAATATCCTATATTTGATGTTTCTCTCTCATCAAAGTTTCTAACTCTCTATCCCTTATTTAGTTTATTGTCCTGTCTTCCGACTGAATGGTAAACTCTGTGAGAACGAGAGCTTTGTCTACTCTGTTCACTGGTGTGTTATTCCCAATACACAGAACAGCGCCTGACATGCAGCAGGCACTCGCTAAATCTGTTGAATAAATGAACAAATGGAAGAAATACCAAGGTAATTGCATTTTCATCTACCTAGCGTAAGTGACAATGCCATGAGCTGGAAGGCAGACAGATTCATGACAGGTTCACGTGCAGTCTTTAGTAAATATGTTAAAAACCAGGTTTCATCTTATTCTCTAATTTCGAAGCGGTTCCACAGAGCCTGTGGCCTCCTCCGACCGCTTCAGGATTCTATCGATAATGACGATTTAAATTGCCTGAAGTACTAGTTTGCTTTCACCTGTTTTATAACAGATACTGGGGTTCTACTGAGAGCAGATGGGGGGCAGGGGGCAATTCCTGAAGCCACTGCCCTGGAGTGTCAGCTGTTGGCTGCAAACTTACCGGAGGTGGTAGGGTCTCCCAGTAAGCCAGAGGTTGGACTCAATATGACACCCATAACATCGGAGCAAAGGGACGCGGTGTCCAGAGGTTTCTCGGCCACGGCTGTTTGGAGAAAATGCCTTTGAAATGCAGCCTCCTCAGTGCGGAACACAGTGAGAACCGTAGTGTTGGTAGAGAGCGGGGAAATAACGCCTGTGACGGGGGGCCAGCCATCACCGGGGTCCACACTGGCGACCTACAGGAGAAGTTCCATTAATTTTATTTTATTGATATCAGAGAGGAAGGGAGTCAGGGAGAGAGATAAAAACATCAGTGATGAGAGAGAATCATGGATCGGCTGCGTCCTGCACGCTCCCTACTGGGGATCGAGCCCGCAACCTAGGCATGTGGCCTGATCAAGAATTGAGCCATGACCTCCTGGTTAACAGGTCCACACTCAACCACTGAGCCATTCCAGCCAGGCCTATTGAGCATGTATCATGTATTTATTATAATCCACAGAATCCTCCCAACCACTCTGATAAAGTTTAATTTATAAATTAGGCACAGTAATAGATTAACAGCAATAACTAACAATAAAATAGAACACTTACAACAATATACTGCAATAAAAGTTATGTGAATGCTCTCTATATCAAAATACCTCACTGTACTGTCCTCATCTGTTCCCTTGAAGGAAGCACTTTTCGGCTTCTCTTTGGCATTTCTGATTTGTCGCCATCACTAGCCTTACACTTTGGGACCATTATTAAAATCAGGGTCACTAAAATACTGGCTACTAAACTAATGGGCGGGGCTGTACACAGCATGGAGACGCTGGACAGGGGATGATTCGAGTCCCAGGCAGGACTTCTGGAGAGTTCATCACGTTACTCAGAACAGCACACAATTTAAAACATATGAACTGTTGCCCTAGCTGGTTTGGCAGTGGATAGAGTGTCAGCCTGTGAACTGAAGAGTCCTGGGTTCAATTCCAGTCAAGGGCACATGCCTGGGCTACAAGCTCGATCCCTAATAGGGGGTGTGCAGGAGGCAGCCAATCAATGATTCTCTCTCATCATTGATGTTTCTCTCTCTCTCTGCCTTTCCCTTCCTCTCTGAAATCAATGACATATTAAAACAAAACAAACAAAAGAAAAAACTGTATGAACTGTTTATTTCTGGAATTTTCCATTTAATATTTCAGACTGCATTTGACCGTGGAAAGTGAAACCGTGGATAAGGGGGGCTACTGTCCCATCACTTCACCACCCTAATCAGTCACTGCATTTGGCCCACGCCCCTTTTTCTTATGTGAATATAATTCAGCTTAATGGGATTCCAGGTACATGCAATGTTATAAACGGTTTCTTCACTGATGAGCACTGTTGTGATCTACAATGTAGACAATATTAATATTATTTACAAAAGCATAACCTGATGATATTACTGAGATGATATTATAGAGGACAATCCTGGGTGTTTCGCAAACACACTTATTCCCCTTTACCAATGATTTAGACCAGCGGTCACCAACCTTTTGGATCTTACGGACCACCAGTGGTCCACGGACCACCAGTTGGTGACCGCTGCTCTAAAGGTTTCCTTAAACCAGCGGTTGCTAACCTCTCGGACCTCTCCAACCTCTAGTGGTCCAAGAGCCACCGGTTGGCGACCGCTGCTCCAAAGGTTTCCTTAAACCAGCGGTTTCCAACCTCTCGGACCTCACCGACCTCCAGTGGTCCGAGGGCCGGGCCACCGGTTGGCGACCGCTGTATTTGACAAGGATGACCTAGCGTGGGGCAGAGACCTACCAGATGTAACTCTTCGGCAGTCAGCCTGTGGACCAGCTGCTGAAACAACGTCCTGTGGGCTGACTTATTCTCCTCTGGGCTCTGGAGCATCCAGCTATCAGTGCCCAAAGTGCCACTCGTGGGGAGAGACCACTGGGTGGCCGTGCCTTTCAGGAAAATTCTGACTGGTTTCTGAAAATGTCTCTGGTGCATGGCCAAGGGCTCTAGGATGACTGTCCATGCTTCTTGAGTCTCTTTGCCTGTTAGAAATGAACATTAAAATCGGAATGTAGTAAACAGTTACTAAAAGTAGACTTAATAGTAAGTATTTTACTTATTTTTTAATCCTTACCCAAGGATATTTTTCTATTGATTTTTAGAGAGAGTGGAAGACAGAGGGAAAGACACAGAAACACAGATGTGAGAAAGAAATCGATTGGTTGTCTCCCGCACGCTCTCCGACCAAGGCCGGAAGCCTGCAACCGAGGTGTGTGCCCTTGACTGAAATCAAACCTGGGACCCTCAGTCCACAGGCTGACACTCTATCTACTGAGCCAAACCAGCTAGAACAAGACATCACTTCTTAAATCCATAACATACAGTACACAACGTATCTTATGAGGAGATTAAATTCTAAAGATGAAACTGCTTAAACCAAACTACTCTTGAAATTTCCTTAGCCCTAGCTGGTTTGGCTCAGTGGACAGAGTGTTGGCCTGCGGACTGAAGGGTCCCGGGTTTGATTCTAGTAAAAGGCATATGCCCGGGTTGTGGGCTTGATCTCCAGTAAGAGGCATGCAAGAGGCAGCTGATCAATGATTCTCTCTCATTATTGATTTCTCTCTCTCTCTCTCTCTCGCCATTCCTCTCTGAAATCAATAAAAATGTATTTTTAGAAAATTTCTTAAACTGCAAATAATGTCTAATGTAGTTTTATGTATACATCTCTATACAGTATTACTTCTGTGTGAATGATTCAGAAATGAGACTCGCTATACAGTGAATAATACGGCAAAGGAAAGTTAGGAAGATTCCACATGCTGGCTCTTCCTGATAACCACTTTCAGCCCCCTTTGACTAACTTGTTATCGATCATAGTCTCACTGTGGTCTCCCACTTCATCAGTCTCTTCCAGGAGGCAATGAAACCTCACCACCCATTTGCTTGGGCACCTGGGCAATAGTATTTTCTTTGCACACAGCTGAGAAACTTTGAAGTCACTCGCTCGCCTTCTTACACAACACTGGCAGGTGTACCACACCTGAGTTCCATCCTTCCCTGTGGCACCTGACTTGGCTCAGACATACTTTATTTCTTTATTTTTTTTAAGATATTTTTTATTGCTTTTTTACAGAGAGGAAGGGAGAGAGATAGAGAGTTAGAAACATCGATCAGCTGCCTCCTGCACATCTCCTACTGGGGATGTACCTGCAACCCAGGTACATGCCCTTGACCGGAATCGAACCTGGGTCCTTTCAGTCCACAGGCCGACACTCTATCCACTGAGCCAAACCGGTTTCGGCATATACTCTAATTACAAACACTGAGTGCCTGGGCTGTGGAAATTCTAGAGAATTTGAAAGCACAGGCCTGCCTTAAAGAAATGAATATAACTGACACCACGGCTCCCCCTCCCCCAAACATTATGTGCTTACCTTCAGCAGGGAGAAATAACGTTCCTTCCGTCCGTGGAAATGAGGCTTCATACTCAGGAGAATTATAGAGCACACAGTTTAAGATGGAGTCTGTTGGCAGAGCTGACACCCACGAGGAGAGGTGGGGCTCACGTGAGAACAGGGTCTCCCCAGCTTTCGTACCATCCGGGCTCAAGGTCTCCAATGGCAAGACGGTGCCCCCCAGGTGCTGGAGCAGTTCACATACTGTCCAGTATCCAAGGTGGTCTGGGGACTCCCACAGCTAAAATGGAATGACAAAGAACCTCAAGTTATTCTAAAGGAGGCATTCAGAAATAAATCTAAGGGAAATCAGGAGGAAGGAAAGGTGATTTCTACACTAAATGATCAAATGGCACAATAATGTATTTCTTGGACCCAACACAGAAAATGGCCAACATCCTATTACCATACAGTCCAAGAATGTAATCCTATATAATAAAAGCCTAATATGCAAATTGACTGAACGGTGGAACAACGGGGGGCGGGAGGGGGAGCAGGGCCAGCAAGCGGACAGCGCCAGGCCAGCCAAGGAAGGTGCCAGCAGGCAGAGAGAGGGGATGGTGGCAGAGGGGTGATCGGGGGCGGGGCCTGCCAGTCGCCTCCCTCAGAAGGAGGCCAGACTGTGCTTAGGCCCACTCCGCAGACATCCCCCGAGGGCTCCTGGACTGCGGGAGGGCACAGGCCAGGCTGAGGGTCCCCCTCCCCCTCCCAGTGCAAGAATTTTCGTGCACCAGGCCTCTAGTTACTATATAATACACCTTCAAGATAGTGTCCATTTAGTGAAAAGACAACTTCAATTCTGTTTCCTGTCAAACAGAAGTGGAGCAAATCACTGGGGATACATCATAAAATGTTAAGAGTCAGAAGGAACACAAAACCATGATACGTTAATACATAATCCTGTCCCACACAACAATGGCCAGGTATCACGGGAATGAGGCAGGTGAACCTCCTGGAGGGTGATCACACAGCCCCACAGCACTGTGTGGGGACCAAATAGGTCTTTTAATTCTACCTTCACCAAATCCCTCATCACCCTTTCGCCTGGACTCTACCGTAGCCGATAGAGCCTGTGCCCTGCTTCTAATCTCCTCTCCCTGTTGCTCTAAGAAGTATTCTTCTGAGCACACATCTGGAGCCTGCTACTTCTCTAAAAACTTCTTCCCACAGCCTCCATAATAAAGTAACTCCAGCACAGCCATAAAGCCCTAGCCAGGTAGCTCAGTTGGCTAGCCCAGCGGTCAACAACCAGTGGTCCGTGAGGTCTGAAAGGTTGGTGACCGCTGGGCTAGAGCATTGTCCCCACACCCCAAGGTTTCGGGTTCCATTCCCCATCAGGGCACATACAAGAAGCAACCAATGAATGCATCAATAAGTGAAACAAATTGATACTTCTCTCTCTCTCTCCCTCAAATTAATTTATTT